AATAACATCTGCAGGGAATGATTTAATCTGTTGTTATGTATTAAGCCAACACATGGCTGACCTTCTGGTGAATTTTCAGTCTGTTAATCTTAATTGAACAGGAAGAGATTCCCCATCCTTTTGCACAGAGCAGATGGTGGATTTGAACCATGTGTCTTTAGTATTGCAGTACTGCTTCGAACCCTTTGTAATATATACCTTTCTGAATCACTTACTGGATATTATATGTTTAATTTTCATGAACATTAATAGTTTTAAAAGATATTTCAAAACAAAGTTGCACAATTACTTTTATTCAACTTACACAATGTATTTTGCTCTCACGATGACTCTTCAGAGAACTCATTACTTGGAAAGAGGTCCCTAACTAAAAAGGCCTCCTTCTATATATATTAAGCAAAAAAATTTGGAAAGTATACCAACAACAACAACAATATACTATATTGGTTGTTTTAATTTGAGCCTCTTGTTTATAGAGTCCAAAAGACCTTAGGGAATACCTTTGTATTTAAAAGTTGGTTGTTATTATATTTTGGAGGAACATTCTCCCAAATGGTGCAGTGTTCTTTGGTCAATTTGCTGTACTGAGGTAACCTGGGGTTGCTGTGATGCTGAACCTTGTGCCATTGGGGTGTTAAATTCCACAACAGTTATACAAGGCAGACAGTGTATGGTGGAGCTCCCAGTTTAAGACAGGTTGGGAAGCAGTAGTGGCATCTACTTCCAAAACAACATGCCTCTGGAAACTCTATGAACTTTTTGTTGTTGTTCTTAATGTGTGGTCGAGTCGGTTGTGATCATAACAACACTATATACAACAGTCCTAAACCCTACTCTATCCCTTGATAATCTTACTGTCTCCGACATGCCTTTCCCCATTACCCCAGTGACAGAATCAATCCATCTCATTGAGGGGGTTCCTCTCCTGTGTCGTATCTCCACCCTCCCAAGCATGACGACCCTCTCTAAGGACAGATCCTGCCTTGCAACATGTCCAAAGTATGTCCAATGAGGTTTCAGAATCCTTGTCTCCAAGGAACAGCCCAGATTCACCCTCTCCAGGACGAACTTGTTTGTTCTCCTAGCAGTTCATGATATATTCAACACTCTTCTCCAGCACCACAGCTCAAAGGCACTAACTCTCCTTCTGTCATCCCTAGTCATTGTCCAGCTCTCTACAGCATACCGAGTAATGGCAAAGACCATGGCCTGTATCAGGAAACACTGCATGGTTCAAAATTGGGAAGGGTGTGTGTCAAGGATGTGTCCTATCTCCATATCTTTTCAATCTATATGCAGAACAGATTATCAGGGAGGCTGGTCTCTAAGAGTTGCTGCAGCATTTATAATAGATAAATTGAGAATTATCTCAATTTGGATGGCTTCCAGCAGTGTTACTATGTTAATGGAAAATTCATACTACTTTAAAGCTCTCTGGGCACTCTATTTCACTGAAATGGTTGCTCATAAAGCATATATTTAGTTGCTTTAGCACTATTGAGTAAAATAAATAAATAAAACAAGTGTCTATGTACTAAAAGGTTTGTAGAAGTAAACAGCAATGTCAGAGGGAAGCGATCCCAAGGGATAGAAAACTTTTATTTAAAGAGCATCTTCAAAATGAAAAGATTGTTTTAAAGGTGACTTAAATGTTTTTGGTGAAACTGCATGGTTAAGCCAAAGTATTTCAAACTCTTAAATATTTAAATCCTCTGTGGAAAGGCAGAAATAAAATTACATCAGAAATCAAAAACTGAAAGTTACTGCCATCTAACCAATTCCAGCCACAGTGACAATGCAAATACAGTGGAGCTGCCTAAAAGGATTTCCAAGATTATAACTCTTTAAAAAAAAAGCTACAGTCACATCTTCATTCAACAGACTAACTCCTTGGTTGGACCATCAGAATTTATTTTAAGCACTTAACATTTCAACAAGCGCATCACCACTTCTATTTTCCTCCTTGGAAATGGTAAATTGGCATATTTTATAGTAAAGCTCAAGATATTATGAGTTCAAGGTACTATTAAATTGATTATTACAATTATGCTGTATTATTATTTTTTATATTTTTATTAATTCAGTCCTATATGATTCTGATTCCATTCACTGTAATTTGTATTACACATTGATTTTTAAATAATACTGTTAAGTCTCTGTGAAACACTAAAAAGTATGCTGAGACATGAGGTGTGACAAATAATATTAATAAAATGCCATTTTCTCCCAAAGAGTATGACATTATATAAGGATTATATTTCTGCATTTTAGTCCTGATGTTATTTTAATAACAAATAAACAGCAAAAAAAATCTATATGATAAATTTATAACCATTAGAGTCAAAGACATATTTATATTAAAGAAAATAATATTTTAAGTTAACAATCTAAAAATAATAAAGTGTTATATTTGTAGTGTTCTTTAATGTAATATAACATTTTATACTTCTAATTTACATTTAAAAATAGTCACTTTTAAAATTTATTCACTAAGCAACTTCATGCTAAATGGAGGACATATTGAGAAAGTAAACAATTTCATTTTACTTGCATCCAAAATAAATGGCTATGAAATATAAATTTGACACATGGACTGCCAGAGACTTTTTTAAAAGCAAGGCTATCACTTGGAGGTCAAAGGTGTACCTAAGCAACTGTGGTATTTTCAATCATATAATATACATGTGACAGCTAGAAAATTAATAAAGACTGAACAATGAATGTCTTTCCAAGAAATATTGACTGTAACATAGGCTGGAAGAAGAAAAAACAAATGTAAATAAAAAGTCCAGCCAGAGTTCTCCTTCAGCAAAAAATGTCAAGTCTTTTGTTTCTTGAACTTTGGACATGTTATCAGGAGAAACCCTTTCATGGAGAGGGTCATTTGCTTGATAAAATAGGAGATCGGGGGCAGGGTGGGGGGAGAGAAAGACCAATGCAATGAATTAAAGCAGAGGTTTAAACTGTGATGATAACACAATATTGGAAGAGAAGATGCCCCGGGACTGGTGAGAACTGATTCAACAGCACACAGTATCAGCAGTCTCTGTGAGTTTTATTATCCAAGAGCCTCATTCATAAATAAATACATCTGAATCATTTTTTTTCCCTGTGAGTATAAATTCCTTTCTCCTTCCAGAGTTTTTGGTTAATCTTAATAATACCTATTCCATTATCTCAGATCAGTTAAAAATCTTATCTGAACCATGAGATTACAATATTATCAATCTTTAAATCTATGTTTTCAGATGTGCTTTACATCCCCTGAAAATCTACTGGATGGTGAGCTATGAATTGGTTCTAACTCAGCATATAAAACCAACAAACTACTGATTTATGATGTGCAGCATCTTTTACTTATGCAGATATTTTTATTAAGTAAATAAATGTGTGCAATACTTATCCTAAATTCAGTGCTAAGATTTTAACAGTGATGGATAGTATAGGTTAGAATGCACAAAATAGAGATAATTATGAAAATCCAAATTTGGTAAATAATGCACAGAAAAAAATGCAACTTGAAATATACTTTTTATTTTTCGAATTTTGCAGCATTGTCATAATTGTTTTAAATCTCACTTCATTCTCAACAATCCTGTAATAAATAAGCCAAATGAAATACATGGAGTATAATTATATAGTATAGAATATGAAGAAAATTCCAAGTGAATGAAATTAATTTGGTATTGATATAATAATAAATCACTGACAATTATAATAATACTAATCATTACAATAACAGTCATTTATAAAGTTGAAGCTTCATTCAATGTGTTTCTATTTACATATTATTGTTGTTGTTGTTGTTATGTGCCGTGGAGTCGCTCATGACTCATAGTCACCCAATGTACAACAGCCCTGAACCCTGTTCTATTTTGAGCCAATTTCATTGTCTCTGACGCATCCACCCACATTATGCGGGTCACTCAGTCAGTCCATGTCATCCAAGGTCTTCCTTTCTTGTACTGTCCTTCCACTCTTCCAAGAATGATGTCCCTCTCCACAGATTGGTTCCTCCTTGAAACATTCCCGGAGTATGTCAAACACAGCTTCAGAATTTTTGCCTCCTTGGAGCAGATTGGTTTTACTCTCTCTAGGTGGAACCTTTTTGTTCTCCTTGCAGTCCATGTTATACTCAATACTCTTCTCCAGCACTACAACTCAAAGGCATTGATTGTTCTATCATCTTTAGTCTTTGGCCAGCACTCTGATACATAGCAAGAAATTGCAAAGACTATAGCCTGGATCAGGTGCCCCTTAGTCTCCAGACTGACATCAGTGCTTTTCAGTACTCTGAAGAGGTTCCTGATAGAAGACTTTCTCAATGCAATTTGTCTTTTTATTTCCTGTCTGCTGGTACCAAGAATGTTGATTGTGGAGCTAAGCAAACTGAAGCTGTTAACAATCTCAATCTCTTAGCCGTCTGCCATGACGTTGCCAATTGGCCCAGTGGTGAGAATCTTTGTCTTCTTGATGTTGAGCTTCAAACTATATTGAAGACTACAGTCCTTGACCATCTGCAGCAAAAACCTCATGTCCTCCTTAGTTTCAGCAAGCAGGGTTGTGTCAAATATATAATACAGGTTGTTGATGAGTCTTCCTCTATCCTGATGCCTCATCTCTCCTCATAGATCCCAGCCTACTGGATGATCTGTTACGCATATACATTGAAAAGGTATGGAAGACAGGATGCATCCCTGGCACACACCTTTTCTGATTTTAAACCATTCAGTATTTTCTTCCTTTTTTCCGATGACTGCCTCCTGGTCCAAGTATACGATTCACATAAGTACAATCAAGTGTTCTGAGATTCATGTTTTCAGAGTTAGCAACAGTTTGTTGTGATCCACACACAAATGCCTCTGTCCCATAGGATCCCTGCATTTTCATTTGACTTCTTTGTAGTGAGTTTGGTTTTTATCAATCATGATGGAATACTTGTTTGTTGAATTGTTCTTAAAGTGCACTTGCAATGATCTTAAAATTCATCCTAAACTCAGATTTATGGAAGAGGCAAAGAGATACAGACAGGTAAAGAAAAATGCAATGTAAATTTATCTTTTCCACAGATGAATCCTCAAGAAATGTTAACGGAAGGAAATCTAACGAAATTGAAGGAGTTTGTTCTCTTGGATTTTGCTGAGCTGCCCCATCTCCAGTGGTTTCTTTTTGGATTGTTTTTAATAATCTATATTATTATTCTGACGAGCAATGGCACCATATGTCTTCTGACAAAAATAGATCCTGCCCTCCAGAGCCCGATGTATTTTTTCCTAGCAAACTTTTCCTTCCTTGAAATCTGCTATGTATCCGTCACTCTCCCCAGAATGCTGAAGAATTTTGCTACACAGAGAAGAAGAATCTCCCTGGTTGCCTGTGCGACACAGATGTACTTCTTCTTTGTGCTTGGAAGCGCGGAGTGTTTGCTCCTGGCAGTGATGGCCTATGACCGCTATGTGGCCATCTGTAACCCTCTGCACTATCCTCTCGTCATGAATCGTGGCGTCTGTATCCAGTTAGTGACAGGCTCCTGGATCACTGCAGTTCCAGTACAGATAGGGCAGACATATGAGATTTTCACTCTGCACTTTTGTGGATCCAACCAAATCAACCATTTCTTTTGTGACATCCCCCCGATACTCAAACTAAGTTGCGGGGATATCTTTGTAAACGAGATGTTGGAATTCATAGGTGTTACATTATATGCTGTGGTTCCATTTCTGTTAATACTTGGCTCCTATAGTAAAATCATCTCCACCATCCTGAAGCTGCCTTCTGCCACAAGTCGGGCCAAAGCCTTCTCCACATGCTCGTCTCACCTGATGGCTGTGGGGCTCTTCTTTGGAACAGCCATTATTTCCTACCTAAGACCCAAGACCAGTCACCCCGAGGGAACTGACAAAGTGCTTTCTCTTTTCTACACCATCTTGACCCCCATGTTTAATCCTATGATTTATACTCTAAGAAACAAAGATGTTATAATGGCATTGAGAAAACTGCTATGTAAATAAACAAGTTAAGGACTAACTTAAATCTATGATAATTGCTTTCTAGTGTCTTTTTCTTCAGTATACTTAAATTGTTATTATTTACCATTGAGTCAGAGCTGACTCATAGCTGACCTTCCGGTGGGCTTTCAGAGGCTGTAATCACTTGGAAGGTGACTGCCTACTTTCCTTCACTGGAGCAGTTGGTGGGTTAGAAACCTGGGTCTTCAAGTTGGCAGTGCAGCTTCTTACCACTAGGCCACATTTAAATAGAGGTATATTTTTAACTCTCCTTGGTATTTACAACCAGTGCTTATTATTTCTAAGTTTAAAGGTGTTTGTAATGTTGTCAGATCTTTGCTCTGGTTATACAAGTAACATAGGGATCCACAGAGAGCAAGTCATTCTTTTTTTAATTCTTCAATTTCTCTGTGGAGTGTCTTCCATGAATAAGAATTTCTGCTGGGTATTAGGTAATTCAGAGAATTGGGTCACTTGCTGGAATTTTATCACTCCTTTCCCTGAATTGTCAAATAGTTGTGCAACACATTTTAAAAACCAGATTATCTATAACTTTAATCATTGATATACATATAGTTTGGCCTCACATATTTCTGTTAAATTTTTATTTACAATTTGATCTCTCTATGGCTCTCCAGACAAGCTATTCTTTGGAAGAAACCACTTTTAAATGGGGTGTATCTATTTAGGGGGGAAAGTTATGAATGTATATCAGTAACAATAAACTTTGATCCCATATTTTGGCCAGTTGTCAGGAAGGGTGAATCTTTGAAAAAGATATCATATTTGGAAAAACAGAAGACAGGTGATAGAGAGAAAAGACCCTAAATGAGGTTAGTTGACTTAGTGACTACAGTTATTTTTTTAAATACAGCAGATTGATCTGGTATACATCGAGTCCCTATGAGTCATAGTCAACTCGAAAATACAGCAGATTGATCTGGTATGCATCGAGTCCCTATGAGTCATAGTCAACTCAAAGGGCATCTAACAATAAAATCAAGCATTCATTATGGACTAAATGTATATGTGGTTAAATATTTCAACAAAATGCAATATGATGGGTTGATGAAATAGGTTAAATATTTCAACAAAATGCAATATGATGGGTTGATGAAATAGATATTATAAAGCATTTACATTAAATTTGTAAAAAAAATCATTGTGTTACTCACAGTTTCCCCCCCTCTCCTTAGCTTTTTTTTTTTTCCAGAAAATGGTAAGTAAATAATTATGAATAAGGGGATTAATTTTTTTAGAAAGGTGGTTTTTTTTTTTGGAACTTATTTACAGCTGACCCTTTAATGGGTCTTCAGATGCAGGAAATTATGCCAAGGATATATATCTTTATCTTTCATTTTTTTAAATTAATTTTAATGAGAGTTTACAGAAAGTTAGGGCTTCCAGACTTTCTTGATGGATTCAAATTGTGTACCTTTAGATTAGCAGCCCAATTTCTTACCAGTATGCTACCAGGGGTAATTATATTTTATAATAAAAAAAAAGTTATCATAAGTATACTATAAACACAGCATACATACATGTATTGACGACTATAAATTGTAATATTCTGGTATAGCTGTTCTGTTCTTTTCCTAAAGCTTTTCTGAATTTTCGTTTTCACAATGAGCCCTTGTTATCAATAAAATAGAGAAAAGAAGAAAAAATGATAGCATTTAGTAGTGTGTGTTCTGTTTTCCAAGTTATATATTTAGTCATATTCTCTTCCAGTAATTGAGAAGTCCTTTCATTCTCACAGCTCCATAAATGGGTCTGTGGTGCTTTAAGATATAAGACAACTAACCAGTGAGAAATTGTTTTATTATAGATTTATAAATCAATAATTTCTGAATTAGTATCTCTACTAGTTGTTTTTAAATTAATCTACTTTTTTGTTGATTTGCTTAATTGTTCATGAGAAGAACAAATGAGAGAGATCTGTTCTTAGACCACTAATCTGTTGCAAAATAGTGAGCTAATCATCAAGAGAAGAATTAATGTTGTTGTTGTTATGTGCCGTCGAGTCGCTTACGACTCATAGCGACCCTACATACGACAGCCCTAAACTCTGCTCTGTCCTGTGCCAATCCCACTGTCTCCGACCTCCCATCCCGATTATCCCAGTCACTGAATCAATCCACCTCATAGAAGGCCTTCCCCTCCTGCGCTGTCCCTCCACCCTCCCAAGCATGATGTCCTTCTCCAAGGACTGGTCTCTCCTCACAACATGTCCAAAGTATGCTAGATGGAGCCTCAGAATCCTTGCCTCCAAGGAGCCACCCGGTTTAACCCTTTCAAGGATCAATATGTAGTCATAATTATATTCTTACTACTCTAGGAAACTCATAAGCAAAACAAACAAACACAAAATTAAATATGCCCACTTCCAGTAAAAATGTGCCAGAAATGTAATTTATTTTAACATGAGTTTTCAAAGAGGAGGGCAAGTGGACTTGTGGCAGGGAATTGCACTCCTGACCAAAGGCACGAGGTTCAAATACACCAGTTACTCTGTTGGAAAGAAAGTTATCCAATCTCCTCCTGTGCAATATGCAGCCTTTGAAAACTCACTAGAAGGTCAGCTATGAATCGGTTTCCACTCAACACCAATGAGTTTAAAAGTTGAAGCTTTCTTTTTTTTTTTCCATTTTCAACAATTAAATTTATTTCTGAGTATTTTGACCACATTTAGTTTGCTGTAAGATAGGTGGTGTTCTAAATACTTGGTGTACGTTATCTTACATAATTTAATAACAACCTTATGAGGTACATATAATTACTTCATTGTGTCAATCAGATAACCAAGTACAGAATTGTGCCTTGCTGAGTTCCTTTTTTTTTTAATCTATTTTAATGGAAGTTTACAAAGACTTTGGATTTCCATTCATTCACTGAGGCCTTTTAAACTATTACTACTGTCTTTTTTTTTTTAAATTAGAATTTGCACTTTGTTTTGTTTTTAATTGTTTGAAATGTAATTCGTTTGCAAATAACTCGTTTCTATTTCTAAGAAACTGGCTATTCTACTCCACAGATATAAGCACAGACATTTATTAATTATGTATACTTACTTATGTGGATGTGTGTTTTTTATGTATTTAAATTGTTTTCTTTACGTAATGGGATAAGGAATGATAATGAGAAAAATATTAAAAATATGCAAAACCTAGAGATTCATATTTAGGAAATAAAGAGAGATGCAAAATTAAGGAAAATAACTAAAAAGAGTTAATATGAGAGAAATTGTCTGGTGTCCACACACGACAATGAGGACTAAGATTCTTGGATAATTGTAAAACTGTATTTCAGCATATCTCGAAAAGCCAACACAGAATGAATTATGCCCAAAGGTTTTTAAAAGTCTAGATATTTGGAAGTCATTGGAAAAAACTATGCATATTGCTGGTGTCCTCAAGTCAATTCTAACGTGGGTATCTCATATACAGAAGAAAGGAACAATGCTTAGTTTTCAAGATCACTGTTGTCTGAGGCCATTGTTGGAATCGTTGAGTGAGTCAATCTCATTGAGAGATTTCTTCTTTTTTATTAACCTCCTACTTTACCAAGCATCATACTCGTCCCTCCCAATAAGTAACACGATCAAATTATGTGAAAATATTTTTCCTTTCTCTCTTCTAGGGAACAGTTTAGCTCTACTAGTTCCAAGACAGACTTATTATTTCTTTTAGCATTTCAGGGTAGAGTCAACATTTTTTGTTATTAATTGCCATCAAGTCGAGCACAACTCACAGAAACACTATGAATAGGAGGTCTGCAGCCTTTCTATAACTATTGACATTCATCCAAGTTAATAGATTTTCCAGAGATGTGAAGTTTAGGAAGTAGATACCATTCCTGCTTCCATTTTTCTATTAACATCATAGCTTAAAGACATTGTACACTTGTCACGTGCATATGTTGTTGTGTTGTTGCATCAAGTTGGAATAAACTCATAGATGACTCTCCAGCCGATTTTCAGAGGCATTCAGAGCAAGTTTTCATAAGGGAGGAGATTTTCCATCTTTCTCTGACGATGGATTAGAACCCCACATCTTTGGCTTGAGCGCACAACTCCTTACCCAGTACGCCACTAGAACTCCCTATATATACACAAGACAACTGAGAATACCATGGTTTAGGTTTGGTACACATTTGTCCTAAAAGAGATATCTTTTTAAAAAAGAAAAACCAAATAAAACTTTGTATTGTTCTATTGTGTAAAATAATAAGTTGTCCAATTTCTTGACTTTTGTTTTCATGGTTGTTGATCCATGGGTAATGTATTGATATTTTCATGTGTGTTCAAGTAATAGTGATTCAGTCTAAATAAACCAAAAAGCCTATTTTTTCAAGTCAGTTCTAACTCATTAGAACTTCTGTGTTGTAGAAAACTGTCCATTAGCTCCTGACTGTGCTGTTAAGAAAAAAAAAAAAAGGTGTCTACACCTTTCTGCCAAGGTGTCAGGGTAGATACAAACTGCCAACCTTTATTAAGCTATTGTTATGGGTCATCAAGGTGCTTATGAATAATAGCTCTGAAGCCTGCCTTGTTTCATTGACTCAGACACACCTACCTCCATTATACCAATTACTATCTCAATCCATCTTATCAGGGTTTCTCCTCCTGCGCCGTCCCTCCTCCTTTCCAAGCATGATGTCCTACTCCAAGGACTGGCCACATGCTCAGCGTATGTGAGAGAGAGCTTCAAAATCTTAACCTCCGAGAAGAAACTTGATTATACCATCTCCAAGATGGACTCCCTTGTGTTTTTTGGTTGTCCGTGATGTTAAAGGCTCTTCTCCAGCACCACAACTTAATGGCATTGATTCTTCTTCTGTCATCCTTAGTCATTGTCCAGCTCTCTGATGCAAAGCAAGGAATTGTGAAGACCATCACCTGGATCAGGTGCACTGAGTAGTGGAGCCCAAACTATTTGTGTCATAAGAACAGAGACAACGGGTCAATGCTGTCCATTTATCTTCCCCAAACAAGAAACATTTTT